GGCTCTTTCCGTCTGGCATCATCCTACCAGATGGAATAGTAACTCCAAGGAAGAGGGACCCCCCACTTGCTCACCCTGCGAATGCTCAGGCCAGGAGTGGAGAGCTTCATTGCTGAACACATTCCATTGGAGAGGAGTTGGTCACATGGCCACACCTGCCACAAAGGAATCTGGGAAATGTAGTCCAGGACTGCACCTGGCTAGCACCACAGAAAGAGACCTCAGCCACTGGAAAGGAGCACTCCCAGCAAAGGCCCACTGGTGTGAACACTGATTTGTTTGAGAAATGGGTGGCTGGGGCTGCACACACCAGCAGAGATTAGGAGATGATTTAGGGAGAGAGGCTGGATCAGACTGGGGCCCCTAGAGGCCAAAGAGTAGGGGTTCTATTCCAAATGCTATGATGGGACTGTTGGAAGCTTTTAAACTAGGAGGTTGAACGACATCCAGATTCTGCCAACCTATCTGGCTGGCTAGACAGTGATGAGGAAGGAAGCAGGCATTTGCCACTAAATGGGCTTGGGCTGACCCACTCCCAGAGCCGGAGACTATGTCTGCACTTCTGCACGCTGGAAGGAGGTGTGGGAACTCTGGCTGTTGCAGTTATGTACAACCAGCCCCTCCTATGTCCGTCCCCCTCTCCGTTGGGGACGAGTGACTACACGAGCCTGTTGGCCAAGGAAATATTTACTCTCCTTTCTGAACACACACAGCCCATCTCTTTTTTCTGAAGAACTGGGCTGGAACCCACAGATGTCAGTTCAGGCAAGTGCTCTACCAGTGGGCTACACACCTGGTACACCACCACCCCTTTTAGAAGGGGTCTTGCTATGTTTTTGTTTTCTTTTTGGTACTGGGGATCAAACGCCGGTCCTTGTGCTTGTGAGGCAGGCAGCGGAACCACTGAGCTAAATCCCCGGCCCAAGGGGGGAGGTTGCTATGTTACTCGGGCTGTCCTTGAACTCCTGGGTTCAAGTAATCCTCCCTCTTAGCCTCCCAAGTAGTAGGGACTACAGGGACATGCCACTTATCCTGCCCACCTTTATACAATCCTGCTCCATGACTCTTTAGAGGTTCAATGGGATGAGCTTCTTGAATTTTTTCTTACCTTTTTCCTCACTGAGGCTGTGCACATCTTTGGAAAGAAGAAAGGACTCTTGGTGCCCCTTTCTAGGGTCTTGCCTTCCTGCCCAAATTCTCCCTTTTGGTGATGGCACTTAAGGATAAGAGACTTAAGGGAGAACAATATTCCAAAAATAAAACAAACACCAAAATGATTTAGAACTAAGGCAGAATGACTTGCCTGAGGCCCTGGCATGAATCAGCCAAGGCTTTTCATTCTTGATGTCTTTTGATTCAGAGTCCCATGCACTTCACATGTGATCGGCGTAGTCTTGTGCAATAAATGACTAAGTTTCAGGCTGGGCATGGTGATGCATGCCTATAATCCTAGCACTCAGGAGGCTGAGGCAGGAGGATCACTGTGAGTTCCAGGCCACCCTGGGCTACATAGTGAGTTCAAGACCAGTCTGAACTACATAGTGAGACCCTGTCTCAAAAAAACAAAAAACAAGAATGAGTTTCAATCTTGAGCTTAAATGCCTACCAACAACAGGACTGATAGGTGTTCTGTGCTTTTTCAGAGTCACCCCGGGTTTTGTTTGTGCTGTTTTTTTATTTTTGAGACAGGGTCTCACTCTACAGTCCAGGCTGGCCTTGAACTCACCAATATAGCCCAGGTTAGCCTCAAGCTTGCAGCGATCCTCCTGCCTCAGTCTCCTGAGTGCTGGGATCACAGGCATGTACCATCATGCCTGACTAGAGTCGTTTTGTTTTGTATTTCAGTACCCAGGATTGAACTCAGGACCTTGTGCTTACCAGGCAGGCGTGGTGCCACTGAGCTACATCCCTGGCCCCTGTTTTGTTTTAAGACAAGGTCTCACTATGTAGTTCACACTGGCCTTGAACTCACTATGTAACCCAGGCTGGCCTCAAACACATAGCAATCCACCTGGGTCAGCCTCCTGAGTGTTGGGCTTACAGGCGGGCACCACCATTCCCAGCTTCATTCTGCTTTTGACAGACAAGATGGATGCCACATTTGAACTCTGGTCATGCAACAATTACCTGCACATGACCACACACCTGGCCTCTTCTTCCCTGAAAGAAATCTTCTCAGGCTAAATAGTGCCTCTTTTCTCCACCCACTCACATACCTGATCAGACCTTCTGGATCTGGTACGTAGTGAGACAGTATGTTCTCTGAATACTGAAAAACATGAAATGGAGCTGGGCGTGGTGGCACACACCTGTAATCCTAACACTTGGGAGGTTGAGGCAGGAGGATTGCTGCAAGTCAAGACCAGCCTGGGCTACATAGTGAATTCAAGCCCAGCCTGAACAGAATAACAGGACCCTGTCTCCAAAAAAAAGTGGAATGGGGGCCAGGGATTTAGCTCAGTGGTTCTGGCACCTGCCTCGTAAGTGCAAGGACCCGAGTTCTATCCCAGGTACCAAAAAAAAAAAAATGTGGAATGGGACCATTCCGAAAGGTATGCCGAGAAAAACAATATGGCAGAAAAGGCACTGCCTTCCTACTTCACAGACCCCCAGGTGGACACTGCAGGTATACAGCCAAGAAGTAAATCCACCTGTGGAGTTTGACATGTGCCCAACCCATGAAAAGCCCTCTGGAGAAGATGGTGCCCAGCAGAAGATAGCTTGCTGCTCAACAGCAGGGAAGGAGTGAAAAGCTTATTGGTTGGATTTTGGGGTGGGTGGATTGTCTGGAGCCAGCGCTGCATCTGACAGGTCGGGCCTGTAGGCTCCCTAGCAGAATGTCATGGGAAGGGAGTGCATGAGTAAACTAGTCTTTCCTCAGTCTTTCCTCTACCTATCCAGCAATTACAGCCTACATCCCCACCTGTCCTTATTCTCCCCTTTGTCCAGAGCAACAGAGGCAATCTCTTAATTTCCTGAATTGAGGATGAATGGGAAAATCCCTTCCCTTTAGTCACTTCTTTCCCCAGGGGTTAGACCAGGCCCCTAGGGGTCGCCTCCTAGAATCCTCCGCAAAGATGTAAAGGGGTCCTTGGGCCAGAAAGGCATGCACATGGTGTCTGGAGCCAGATTCCTGGATTGGTATCTGAGCTCCATCTCCATCACTCTCAATGTGATTTGAGACAAATTACTCAGCCCCCATCCCTCTATTTCTTCATCTATACATGAATGGTAATGTGAGCCTACAGGAGGCAAATGTATGAAGCGCTTGGCTTAGCACATGGCTCAGAGTTAATACTCAGCACTTGTCATCCGTACCATCATTAGAGTTAGAACTCCAGCCCTAGACCTGGAAGTGGTAAGGAATGCAATCCCAGCTTCTCAAATAATAGCTCTTTTTCCTTTTCTTGAGTTTATTTTGTCTCTTATCCAGTCCCATAAAACAAAACAAACAACCACCATTTGAGTCTCTCCCTGGGAAGCTGAAGGATGGGGAGCGACCTTTTGGAAGTGTGTGGGGTGGGGTCTCTCTTGGATGAATTGTACCACAGGCCTTGCAGCTGCAATTATAGGATGACCTGGGAGATGAGGTAGCCTGAGCAGAGACAAGGGAAGGTTGGGAGGAGTCAGAGGTGAGAACCGGGGTGTATAAGAGTTAAAAGAAGCAACTAAGGGATGTATGAGGATATAGTTATTTGGGGACCAAATGAGAGAAGAGAACCAGGTAGGATGCTGAGAAGTCTAAATGTGGAGTTGGTGAATTTGGGGAGGATGTGTATAGGAAAAAGGGGAATGAGTATTACATGTCTGAGGGGCTGAAGGAATTGAGGCCTTCAGGATATGTCACAGGGGACTGAAGAAACCAAACAGCATTAGGTTGGAAGGTAAAATGAAATGAGTGTGTTTTGGAGATGAGGAGGGACACCAGGGACCAGCAGGGGCCTGAAGTTTAGGGCTGGGCATTGAGCATGAGGAACTGGGGAGTGGCCAATGGGGTAAGGGTGGAGTTGGAGGACCTGAGGGCTGGGCTCTGAAGCAGGACCACATTGCACTACTGGTGCCTCTAGGCTGCCTAAGCTTGGGACCTGAGTCTGCATTGAGGAGCCCAGAGAGGAACAGGAGGGCTGAGAGAGGTTTCTGGCTGGTGGGGACAGGGCCCCAAGGTCCTGGGGATCTGTCCAGGGTCCACAGCCAGTGGGGTTGGAGGTGCAGGGGTCCGGGTCAGCGCTGGTCCCTGGGGTCTACAATGAGGCCAGGACTGGGTCTGTGGGTCCCTGGGGTGTCTGAGTTTTCTCAAAGCAGAGATGGAGAACCTAAAACCCACCTCACCTGAGGAGTAAGTCCCGGGTTCACTGAGTCCCATCACAGAAAAATAATCTTCAGGACTAGTTAGTAAGGGTCATAAAGGGATTTATTAGATAGAATTTTTAAAGTACACATGCAAAGAGGTGTGTGCCCTCAAGAGAGGCACCTTATTTCCTCTAACTGGAAACATTTAGGTTTCTCTTGAGAAGGGGCAAAACTATGGATTTGTAAGTCTTCGGGAAATTCTGTTTGGGGTTTGGGAAAAAGGATGGCCCACTTTACAAGTGGCAAGAGTCTCACCCAAAAAAAAAAAAATGTTTTTAAAGGATAATCAAAGCATTCTTTGAATTCTCTCAGTCTGTTCCTTTATAGTAAGATCAGGTTCCCGCTCTTTACTTTCTCAACTAAGCTAATTTATAACTGGGGTCCCCGAGGTATCGGAGGAGGGCGGAACCCCGAGTTCCTGGGGCGTCTGAGAAGGCCGAAGCCGGGGTTGGCGTGGGACGCGGTGTAGCTGTCTCAGCCCGCGTCCCGGCGCCGCCCCCTGACATCAGTTCCTGTCGCCGCCGCCCGCCGCGCAGCCCCGGCCTCCTCCCCGCCCCGCGCTCTGGAGTCGGCGGGCCGCGGCGGAGCGAGGCGAGGGCCGGGCGGGGGACGCCGGGCCCCGCGGCCGGCACGACGGAGCCCCCGCACGGCCGGCGGCAGCGGTTGGCGGCGGCCCCGGGGCCCCGGCGCGGGAAGCGGCGACGGGGCGGCGGCGGTGGCAGCGCCATGGAGCCTCGGGAGGTGAAGGACCGGATCCTGGAGAACATCTCATTGTCGGTAAAGAAGGTGAGGCAGCTGCTCCCTGCCGGGCCCTGCCTCCCCCTCCCGGGGTCCCTCCAGTGGCCGGGGCGCGGGACACCGCCCTTCCCTCCACGACCCGGCCGCCGCATCCCCGGGGCCGCGCATCCTCGGCGGGGTGGAGACCGAGGGACGCGCGACTTGCGTTTTCCTGAACCCTGTCCCGGCGACGGCGACTCTACCTCTGGAACTGGGAAGTCCCCTGGTCGTCCTGCTCAAGGATGGCAGTTTCCAGGAGGTTAAGGTTAAGAATCTTAAGTGCCTAGAGCCTGCGATTTGGATGGCCCTCTTCCCCACCTCCAGAGCACACTCGCTCCACTTTACTTTCTGACCTAATGCCCTTCCCATTCCTCGAGTTCCTTGTGACATCCTGATGGAATCCGTGATACCACCGAGGCCAGCTGTGGGGCTTGCTGGGGTAGGCTGAGGGCTGGACTCTAGCTGGGGATGCGTACTGTCAAGGGCGTGTGTGTGATGAAGTCAGCTCAACTGAACCAGGGTCCTGTGCTAGAAGGTAGAATTCACACTCATGGAAAACCTCAGTGGCCAACTGGAATGTTTATTTTCCCTATTTGAAATGCCTGGCTCAGCCGATCATCTCAGAAACTGAGAGGGAAATGATTTGGAAAGGAGAAAAGGCTCACTAGCTTGTTTTGAATACTTTAACAAGCCAAAATAAGCACTCTATATATTTATATTTTTAATATTTTATTTACTGATTTGATTTTTGTTTTTGAGACAAGGTCTCACTATGTAATTAGTCTGGCCTTAAATTCACTGTGAAGCCCAGGCTGGCCCTGAACTTGCAATGATCCCCCTACCTCAGCCTCCCAAGTGCTGGGATGACAGGCATAGGCCGCCATGCCTAGCTCAACCTAGGGTATTAATTTAATCACCATATATGTAAATAACAGGGCTTTTTCCCACTTAAATTTCTGAAAAATAACATAGGTAAGCATTTTTACCTTTCATAAAAATAAGTAAAGAGAAGTAGACCCAAATTTTTACTAGAATGTTCCTCTAAAAGTGCAAGTAAAAGTAACATGCAGAGGTCCGTTGAGTTTTGTTTCATTTTTCTGAGTGGAACTAATAAAATGGGGTATAGTTTTTTGCTTACTCAAGGAGCATAGGATGAGCAAGTACTTTGTTAAAAAGCAATGCATCTTTCGAAATGGAAGAGAAAAGAAAACTGCTGACATTTCATTCTAATCCGGGCTGACTATGGCTCCAGGTAGGGCAAGGGTGTTGCCTTCCATTGTCTTTTGTTTTTGGATTTCAAACAAATCAATGGGAAAGTGCCCTGCAGAGAGGTGGAAGACATGGGCACCTTTCACAGGTGTAAGCATGGGTCATGTGAAGGCAGAGAGCTGCTCTGAATCAGGCTGTCACTTATGAAAGAGGCGGATGTGCTTGTCAGGATGCTTATAAATTATGTGTTTGGACCAGCACATTTTTTAAGCTATAATGTACCTTAGAAAATCTAAGTTGCAGACTAGAAACTGGGCACATCCCACCTAAGGTGTGACTAGAATCATGGTTGTGAATATGGGTTCTGAAGTCCAGCTGCCTAGGCTGAAGCCTTACCTTGCCCATAAATAACCATGGGCAGGTTCCTTAACATATCTATCCCTCACTTTCCTCATCTGTAAAGCAGTAATAAAATTGGCGTCATTGGGAAGTTGGTTATTGTTTTTTGAGACAGGGTCTTACTATGTAGCCTGGGCTGACCTTGAATTTACTGTGTAACCCAGGCTGCTTTCAAACTTGTAATACTCCTGCCTCAGCATCCTAAATGCTGGGGTTACAGGTATGCATCACCTTGCCCTGGTGTTTTGAAGATGTAATGAAGTTATGTAGAATGCTGAGCATGGTGCCTGACCCAGTGGTAGCTTAATAAGTGGTAGCTTTTTTTGTTTGTGGAGTGGTACAGCCAGCTCCTTGCTCTTACAGGATCTGAAGCCTGAGTGTCGCACCCAGAGTTGTGAGACTCTGTTTGTACTCCTTAGCCACTTCCTTTGTGTGCTTGTTTCAGGCACTGCCTTACGACTTTTGCATCATAAAGTGTGTTTAGTTTTTTGAATCAGAGCATCTGCTTCCAATAGGAGTCAGTTCTGTTAGAGCAGCAGACACTGTGGGCCAGCATTCTCGGGGTCAGATTTGTTCGAATGCCAGTCTCACCTAAATTTGTTATACAACACCTGCAGAGTTCTTTGACTTTTTCTGTCCTCCTACCACCCATAAAACGGTCTTACTGCTTCTTTTTTAAGGATGTTGCATGAAAAAAATGAGATGTATATTTCTGCAAAGAAAGATTTGTGGAACCAAGCATGGTGGTGCCACACCTGTAATGTCAGCACTACGGAGTCTGAGGCAGGAGGATGAGTTTGAGGCCAGCTGGGTTACATAATGAGACTCTGTCTCAAAAAAAAAAAAAGGAGAAAAGATGTGTAAATGTGCAAAGATCCTAAGGATACAGCTTAATGAGTTCCACAAAGTGAACACAACCACATATCCAGCACCCAGTGAAAAAGCAGAACATGACCATCATCCACCAAATCTCCCTTGGTTTTTCCCAGAAACCTACATCAATGGTGGTGAACCTATGGCATGTGTGCCACAGCTGTTTGTTATTGAAAGCTCTAAAAGGTTCGTCATCACTCACCTACAAGGGTAGGGTACCCACTGTCCCCAAGCAGTACTGGTGGGGAGTTCAGGTTGGTCTTGAACTCACTATGTAGCCCAGGCTGGCCTCAAACTTGCAGTGATCCTCCTGGTTCAGCCTCCAGAGTGCTGGGACTACAGGTGTGCGCCATCATGCCAGGCTCACTAAGCAGTACTGTTGAGCTCAGCTACTTTTACACTGTATTTTTTCACCTAAATGGTGAAATAGGTGTTATCCTACTTGAATCTAAGGGAACCTGTGTTCTAATATGGAATTCTTGGAGGCTAGAGAGAACTGGAGAGTTTGATAGTGCAGTTGAATAAAAATGGTAACAATAGAGCAGGCCATGGTGACAAACAGTTACAATCTCAGCACTTGGGAAGCTGAGGCTGGAGAATCACCTTGAATTTGAAGCCAGTGAGATTTGAAGTGAGATCCTGTCTCAAAAAACAAAAACGGGCCTGGGATTTAGCTCAGTGGTTTCGCCGCCTGTTGCACAAGTGCAAGGACCCCAGTTCGATCCCTGGTACCAAAAAAAAACAAACCAGGGTTGGGGATTTAGCTCAGTGGTACCGTGCCTGCCTCACCAGCACAAGGTCCTGAGTTCGATCCAGCACAAAAAAACAAAAAACCAACAACAACAAAAGATAACAATAAAAAAAATTCTCTACCATCCTGACCCTTAGTTTAAAAAAAAGAAGTTCTCTATATTCTGGAAAGGAATCGATAGCTGAAACATCCCATGTGCTGCTAGTGTAGCCTGTGGCTGTCAAGTTGTTAATAGTAAAAGAGAAATGTCCAAGGGAAGAACAGTGTTGGCATATGGGATTGGCATGTGGTTCAACTGAATAACATCATCCCCAGGGGAGGGAAGGTAGTGGTTGAGAGTTTTTTGTTTTGTTTTGTCGAGACAGGTTCTTACGGCCAGCTGGGGATTTAGCTCAGTGGTTCCATCACCTGCTTCGAAACAGGTTCTTACTATGTAGTCCAAGCTGGGTTGAAACTCATCATGTAGCCCCAGGCTGGCCTTGAAACTATGGTGATCCTCCTGCCTCAGCCTCCCAAGTTTTGGGATTACAGATGTGCGTGCACCACCACAAGCAGCTGTTTGTTTTTTTTTTCTGGTACAGGGGATTGAACTCAGGACCTTGTGCTTTCGAGGCAGGTGCAGCACCACTGAGAGGTGTTTTGTTTTTGAAGCACAAGTCTGTAGTATCTGGGTACAGTCTGAGAAAAGGCTCAGCTTTGGCCATGCAATGGTTTGTGTGTTGGTTAGGGGAAGAATGAAAAGAAAATAGGGCAAGGAGAAGCCCTCAGAGATAGCTTACCCAAGTCTTGACAGATTCAGAGAAGAAGCAGCAGAGGTTCAGCTAGAAGGAATGTCCTATGGAAGGGGACCCTCAAGTCGTCTGGGGGGACAGTGAGGAGACAAACTGATTCCCTCAGGGCTCCTCGGCACCCACTTTCTGCTGGATGACTGAGAGTTCTTTGGGGAGAAGCCACACAGCCTGGTGATGCAGATGCAGGATCCAAAGGGTCACAGGCCAAGGCCCGGGTCTGAATTCTGAGTTTGTCACTCGTTGGCCGTGATGGTCCAGGTAAATTACTGGGTGTCTGTCAGCCTCGGAGGCGGGACTGCTCAAAGCGTTATGATGGGAGCTCCGTTCCAGCGGGTGGTACTGTTCCCTCAGTACAGTTAGGCCCACAACAGCATTAGCTACCTTTAACACTTGGGGGCAGCGTCCAGTGGAAGTCTTATACCACACTGCTCTGTAAACTTTGTTTCTTTTTGTTAAAGAGAACACTCTTATTCGCAGAATCCTGGCCATAAAAACATGGAATGCTTCACTAATTTGCATGTTATTCTTGCACAGGGGCTGTGCTAATCCTGTCTGTAACATTCCAATTTTAGTATATGTGCTTCCAAAGCCAGCACTTTTTCTTAAAAGACCAGATGACAAATATTTTCAGGACCTATGATCTTTGCTGAAACTACTCAGTTCTGCTGTTGTAACTCAAGAGCAACCACACATGTACGGGTGTGGCTGTGATCCAGTAAACCTTTGTTTAGAAAAACAGGAGCTGGCTGGATAAGCTATATATGTACCTGCATGAACACTCAAAAAAATCCTTGCCAAGAGCAGCTGGGGACTCTTTCAGAGAAATGTGTGTGACCAGGCCTCTGGTGAACCAAATCTCTGTGGTAGTGGTGTTTTGCATATTTTGTCAGGCTTTTAGGGTAAACATGGACACTGAATTCCAGCACATGCCCATGTATTCAGTTGTTTGTTTTATTGTACTGGGTACCACTGAGCTGCATCCTCAG